CTGAATAAGTGGGAACTCACGTACCTAATTTAATAAAAATGTATGTACGCCCATGTAAATACGTAAGCTACCTTAACACGTTTAAAAAAAAACATTTCGAAATGCCAAGTATATATAGCTAGTCGCTGCTCGTTAACCAGTCTCGGTTTCTTGCGACTCCTTTTCACCTCGACTTATCAGTTTCGCCTCTTTTTACATTCTATATTCATTAGTGTACGGTATTCCATGTATATATGGTGGATGTCCTAAACGGCGCTCCCGAAGTATGTGCACCAAGATGGCGCACAACCTGAACCCTAACCTGGTACAACTACTATGTTCAGGTTGTGCGCCATCTTGGTGCACATACTTCTGGAGGTCCAACTAAACTACTGATCAGTCACCAGCTGCGGCACGCGTTACCCGTATGCAGAGGTCTGACGTCTAAAACAAAAAAACGAGTACGTGATTATCACGTTATTTTCAAGAGCGGGTTCGCGCGAACCCCATGGATCCCACCCTTGGTTGTATAATAGGAAAAATACACTAAAAGAACAGTGTTTTTACAGAACGGACATCCCGCACGGGGTAATCAGTGGTGTGATGGCAAGCATATTCCTAACATTTTGCACGATGCGCAACACCGATACCGCCGAACATTACACTGATAATCTTTAGAACTACCGTCCATGTTTAAAACTGCCTATTAATGAGACATGAAAGGAGACATATTCTCCAACCAAAAAGTTGCCCCAACAGTTAGTTAGATTAAACTCCAAAGCAGGGATCGAAAAACTGCGGCCCGCGGGCCAAAATTTATTGTTGTCTCCACATGGATTTGCGCGGTAACGAATCTATCTGTACGGCGCTTTTCTGTAGCTTCAGTTCTGAGTTTTATGCCGTTTACTTGATGTTGGTTGTAATTTTGAAATAAGTTTTATTCTGATATTTAAAATATAAAAATAGGAATTTTTTTCTTTCCGGGAACGAAGAAAGGTTCGCGTTGAGGGTCGAACATTCCGAAGTGCTTGGACAAAAATATTTTTCTTTCTTGCGTATTTCGAAAACAGTTTGCTTGGTATGCCAAGTCAGCATCGCAGTTAATAATTAATGTTAAATTCAATGTTAAACGGTTGCGCCAGTGCAAAACGTGTAATGTGCACGTCACATATTGCTGTGAGCAGCTTTATATGAAATGTATTACACTCACAATAAATCTCGTACTCGCCTGTCAAATTGTCATCTGGATTTTGGAAGACGTAGGGGAGATGCGGGAGAGATGAGCCATTTTTTATATATTTAGTTATATCTCCTCAATTGTTCGTAGCAATTTGAAGACGCTCATATCATCCGAAGGTCATTACCTCTGCTATATTACAGTTATGTCTCTTTTAATCCAACCGACCCTGTTTTTGAGTTATACCAGTTTTAAAAAGGGATGTCAGATGTCACAAGTCTCCTGCATGTTGAGGAGAGTTGTGCATACCATTGATGAGAGTTGAGCCGCTACATGCAGAATGGCACGGGAAGTAGCGTTCAAGTTGCAATCGGGAGAGTATCTTCCACAACTGTGAGATGCTAATACTTCTGTATCGGAACCGTGAGGCATCTGGGCAAATTTAACTTAGCTAATCTAAAATATGAGTCAATGCATCTATAATCTTATTTATTTTTGTCAGTCAATACAGAATGGAAACGAATTATACCACCGAAGCCTTCTTATTACACCTTGGTAGCACCTAGAAATCGAAAAGAAACGTTTATTCATAAGTTGAAATAGCGTGTGACAACTGACAGTGTATGTGAAAATCAAAGATTCCATTCATCGAGGTCACAAGAGAACGTGAACTGGGTGCGACGTGAAGTTCCAATAATGCTAGGGATTGGTAACTTTCTTGCAATGTCTTTCTTCGACCAAAGTGCTTCATCTTCGACATCCAGAATAAAAGTAGTTCGGTCATTTACGCTTAAAACCCGGCGGAGAAACACTCCTTCGAAAACATCAACTCTTGCGACGTAGTGAACAGTTCGAGATTTCCCACTAATCTTGACTATGACAAAATCGCCCTCGATAATATTTTGATCTTCCTCCTCTGAGTCATCAGTATCGTCGCACAATACATTCTCGTTAGATTCACTTTCACTCGAAGAAGTGCTACATCCGGATGGTGCTACCCTCACTCTAACTGTTTTCTTGTTTGCAAAGAGCATTTTTTTTTAGCCCGACCGAAGTTCCTTGCTCTATTTTTTCTATCCTAGCCACTGATTTCGCTGCTATTTCCTCTCAAACTGGCGTGTCTGTCAAAATTTTCGTGCTACCTTTTTCCTATTGGAAGCTTTCACCTTCCTTGGCCCTGCTTTCGGTAAAGGTAGTATATCACTTGGAGACACATAAGGAGTCTCCGCGTTGGTAGTCTGCACTGCTCTAGTCAAACCAGTATTGCTCTCAACGCCAGTTGCTGATTGAATTGTGTTATCTTTTTGGTTCGTGGGAGTATCGGGATTTCTCTGTAAACCTGACACGCTTTCAACATTGTCTACTGCCGAGAAAACTGGAATTTCGCGATCTGTAACTGAAGATGGCGCATAGTCTTCATCTGAGAATACGTCGCTGTTGAAAGGCATAATACCAGTGCTGTGGAAGCCAGCTAGGATATTACGCGGTACAAATGCGCAGATGTGAGCTTCGTTCACCAAATGAGCTATATCGTATATAGACACAGTCTTACCCGGATTGGACCTCATCCAATTATCCATCGCGCGCGCGTAGGCTCTTTTGTATGGTCCATAAACAGTCTTGTCTAAAGGCTGGAGTTTGTGGGACGCGTGTGGAGGGATAGTCAACACCACAACTCCGTTCGCCTTTGCCTTGTCAACAGCTGTCAGTGAAACGTGGGCCTCGTGATTGTCTAAGATGAGCAATACCTTTCTGTCGGGTGTACAGCGTGTATGCTTAATGAAGTGATCGAGATAGTTGACAAACGTGTTCTCGTTAATCTAACCTGATCTGGTGGCCGCACCGTCAGATCCCAGTGGCGCACCTCGTATGAAATAATTACGATAATTGACACGGGGAAATATCATGTAGGGCGGAATAAATTCACCAGCAGCGTTGATCGCATTGACTACGGTTACCAGCTCACCTCTTTCACCTGATGTGACAGAACCAATCTGCTTAACCCCTTTTTCCGTAACAATGCTCTCAGGCTTTTGCACCGTATGGCACCCTGTTTCGTCGATGTTATATACGCCCTGTGCCTCGAATTTGTGTTGGTCCATTACTTTGGCAAGGTTTTTGTAGAACTGTCCCACTGTATGGCAATTAAACGCCGTTGCTCTGGCTAATGAAGTAGCTTCTGGACTTCGAATTGCAAGGTTATTGCGTGCTTTCAATCCAAGCCAAAACCCTTGACCAGCTTTTTTGTTGATTTTCCAATTTTCTGGCACATCGACACCGTTTCTTTCTGCAAACTCATACGACAAACATCGGCATTTATCTTTGGATAGGCCATGGTAGTTTGCTGCAAGTGTTTTGATGTGACTAGCTAGTTCAGCTTTCATTTCAGGACTGAATATCATATTCTTGAGCTTGCAATTCTTGTATCCGCTTGCACCAAGCGGGTCATGTTTTTGTTTATCCATGTATCGCTTAAGCGTCATTCGGTCCACATCAAATGTTCTCGCTGCCGATCTAATACTGCATCCCTCTTTTACTGCTTCCGCCGCCCTTTCGATAATTGACGAATCACTTCCACGGGTTGATTTTCTTTTGTATGTTTGCGGCATCGTCTGATAAAGAAAAAATGTGATGAAAAATATATCCAATGCAGGAGCGTTGAGCCACGGAGCAACCCTCCTGGTGACCGCTGGATCAACCCTCCCATGATCGGCCCTCTTCCCATTTGAGCTCCGCTTATTCATAGTACACATATTACCTGAGACTATGAAATTCACTTTTTGCTGCGATTCCAGCTTTTTCATTAACTGTTTTCCACCAGAGCTACAGAACGTCTGCTTCTCACAGCCAAATATAAAGTAATGACACAACCTACCAACAGAGGGCGCGCGAGCATTCTATTACTAATGCAAGTTGCTAATTTTGCTCATACATATTACCTGAGACTATGAAATTCACTTTTTGCTGCGATTCCAGCTTTTTCATTAACTGTTTTCCACCAGAGCTACAGAACGTCTGCTTCTCACAGCCAAATATAAAGTAATGACACAACCTACCAACACAGGGCGCGCGAGCAATCTATTACTAATGCAAGTTGCTAATTTTGCTCATACATATTACCTGAGACTATGAAATTCACTTTTTGCTGCGATTCCAGCTTTTTCATTAACTGTTTTCCACCAGAGCTACAGAACGTCTGCTTCTCACAGCCAAATATAAAGTAATGACACAACCTACCAACAGAGGGCGCGCGAGCATTCTATTACTAATGCAAGTTGCTAATTTTAGGGGTGGAACAAGTCTCCTCGTGGCTCAAGTCACCCGCATCTCCCCTAATGTGAGGAAACAAGGTTGTCATTTGATATCAAGGCTTTGGCCATGGCACGGAAAAAACATCAAGTAAATAAAAACAATGTATTGTTTGATAATAAATATATATATAAAAGGGCAACATAAACGTCTCATTGTAACACAGCAATAGAAGGTGCGGGTGCGCCATAATTATAGGTTTAATCTGGCGATTGTTCGCAGGCTACCGGAAATGTGTATATGCGGCCCGCGAGTACATAAAGTTTGCCGACCACTGCTCTAAAGCAACGATTACGATTACGCAGAACGATTCATATGGATATTTCATGTCCAACAACAGTGATTTAGAAAATCAAGCCATATGAACATTTTGTGTTCAATAAGTATATTTTGGGAACTATAAAATACTCACAAATATATATTGGAGAATAACGGCGAGCAAGCAGTCAGGGAATTCGAGAATCCCCCCCCCCCCAATCATATTTATTTTAAAACATCAATGATCATCAGCCTACATCTGTGACGTAATGCAACAACCATCCGCGTGATATCATAAGATTACGAAGTATTTTCGTTGAGATTGAGTTGTCTGGAATGTTGTTTGTTCGAGTCGTTAGTTCTGACTTGTTTTCTTCTGCGCTAACCGCTGTTGGTGATTACTGATACGGTTTTGTAAGTGTATTAAGAGTATCTATACCCAGATACCGTAGAAATTTCAAGCACATCAGCGCTGAGAAGACTAGGTATTCCTGTATACAAGTATAATGGATAATGACACAGAAGAAAATGAAAAACTGTCTTTAAATGTGAGTACTTTATTACCATATTTGAGGTTGCTGGGGTAGAGGGGTGTGCCGATATAATTGTAGGATAGAGGATATCGTGAACCCAAAATATAAGTAAGCAAGAAAAAAGTTTTGCTTTCATCACTATCCAGTTATCTGACTATCATGACTAGGCCTATAGACAATTGTAACATCCTGATGTCAGAATGTGGTCCTAATTTCCTAACCAACTCTAGTGTAACACAATCTGACAATGATCTAATATTCTTTCATAAAATCAGTTCTTATGTCTGTATACTGGTATAGGTCACATGTAGGATAGGATTTACATATTTATCCCGGGGAAGAGAAAAACCGATAAGACGGCTTAATCATATGGCGAACCACGGCCTCTCGTCCGGTTACCAGTCCATGTCGGGTATGGACTTAGTTAGCTATTTTTTTCGGAAGCATGGACTTGATAGTGGAGGTAGCCATAACCGACCAGCGGTTACGTGACGGCGATGAGTCCAGCACTCCTCTCGCACATAACTATCCCTGCATGGGATTCAAACCTGCAAACCCATGCAGAGTAGTCAGAGATGCGGTGGCGAGTGAATTCCTAACCCTTAGCACGATGAGCCATACCGTCGCGCCTTATATTCGTAACCTATGTTTGAATGAGTGTACTGTACCTGGTTGTCTTTGGCACTAGGAAGGCACTTGAATTTTAGACAATTCTATTTAGAAATATAATTACCCCATTACCATACTGTGTTTTTTTCTTCTAAATCATCTTTAATCATCACAGACTACTTCACTGAAATTTGTTATACCTTAAATCTTATATTTACTTCATAAAACATTTGTAAAGGTGTTAAGTAGATATTAATATACATGATTTAATTAACTCTTTTCACCTTTCAGAGTTCAAATGAAAGTCATCCATTGACGGCGAGGTTTGTATTTTCGTAAATATCAAATTGTTTTGCTCTGCTTCTTAAGCGCTGTAGATAGTTAGATAAGTATTTTGTAAAGAGTTTCCAGTAGTTTAATTATCATGAGGATTATCTGCTTTTCCCTTGGACATGTATTAAACACGTATAGGCCTACACTTGTTTATTCCCGCATTATAGATACCGTATATACACATGAATACTACATTGTGGAAGTGAAAATACCTTATATAATCTAACCAAGTAATTGACTATGAAAAATTATTCAATTTTTCATCCCAGCGTTAATTGGCCGTTTAGAACCAAGCATATTTATTGCCTTGAGAGATTAGTAGAGATCATCACTCATATGACAAAGATTTTTGAGAAGACTCAAATAATAATTTGCTTGGCTTTGGCCCAATTAAATTTGTTGTGAAGTTGGGATTGGAATGTTCTCAGCTTTCGAAATAGTAGGTTACGTAGAGAAGTGTCTTATTAATTTGTGAACATTTAGAAATGTTTGAACCAAGGATGCCTGAAATGAATTGTATGATGGCCGATTTGATTTTAATTGTATCCTGTTGTTTACATTGTTGATTTTAAGAATAAGTTAGATTAGTTTTATATGATTTGAAAAATAATCAAAAATATGAGCTTCAAAGCATAAATTTTGTTTTCAGATATCAGTCAAATAAGACAAGAAAAGAACGCAAGCCTTTTGCAAAAGCAAGTATGACTGTCACTGTAACGAAAGAACCAAAGAAAACAAGTTTAATGTCTGTTGCCAGGTCAGTTTAGTGAGCAATATTTCATCTGTAGAATTCAATTTCTCATATTTTTTAGGTTGGTTTATCACAGGCATGCAAGTTTTGCGATAATAGTCGAAAATTTATCGCCTGATGTCAAGGATCTTATATTATACTATAAATTGAGGATATATGTTATAGGCCAGCGGTTCTCAAACTATGGGTCGCACCCACTGGTGGGTCGCAAAGCAAATTTCGAAATAAACTGCAACTTTTCAATATTTTACGTCTAAAACTATCTGAAATTGGAATAAATGTCAAGTCTATTATGGAAAATAGCAGGAAACAATCTCATCTTTCTCACTAGCTTCACTGAAAATTCAATTTGAGAAATTAAATTTGTTTCCTCCAATGTTTTATCAATCTATTAAAGTTAAATGGGTCGCCATAAGCTGTGGTAAAAAATAGTGGGTCCCAGCTCTAAAAAGTTTGGGAACCACTGTTATAGGCAAATTGTTTACTCTTTCTGCTTTTTATTTTCAAGATCCATCTTAATATTTTTGAAAACTTTATTTAGCTCATTTTTTAATATGTACTAGTATCAAGTATTTTGCATTAAAAAATAGGTTTCTTCTATTTCAATCGAAACACGAAACTAATAACAAATCCAAACCGACAGACGAATTAAATATTTTCATCTATTAATATTTATTTTTAATTATTGTCGTCTTGAAATATACCGTAAGTAATAATGTGATTCTTGTCTGTAAAGGAAGTCATATCAATACTTGAATATTGATCTCATGACTCAAGAACTTTTATTGATTTTGAAAATGTTTCGATGGTATTTATATGCTTCATATGATGCAAGTTTACATGTAATTACTCTGGCCTAATAGTAGACAGAGCCCAGAATATAAAATGGTTACTTTTGAACTCTGTAATAGGGCATTTACTATATCATACTGGTCTGCATATTTTTTCAAATATTGAAATTTATTGAAAGCTTCTCTAAATATTAAACATGGAGTGGAGTGTAAGTTATTTGTTATCTCCAAGTTTATTAATACAACCACAAAATGGCAGGTTGTGTATTGCTGTAATTCAATTCTATAACTGCCAAAATACGCCGGATATCAAAATTTAATATGGGTTATTCTCTCTAACAATATAGGTTCAATTTCTATTTGCAAGTATTCAAATTTATTTAATTTTATAATTCCTTTGAAGCGGAAAAAAGACCATTTGTAGTATATTAAAACATATATAATTTTTAAGCCTGTGCTTATCTTTTCCTCCTGATTATCCCATCCAATATTTATTCATCGCAGGTTGCAAGTTCCAAATTCGGGGAAATACCAAAGATTAGATAATTCACCTTTATTAAAATTGGAGTCTGACAGGTATGTTTTGGATGAAAGCTATTAACAATTTGATAAAATATATTTTTATGGAAATTCATATAATGTCATATTAAATGTCATGTAACTCTTCAGTGGATCTGATCAAAACTTTATAATTCCTATTAATTTAATCAAAAATTCAGATTCGCACATCTAAGCGAATTCAGAATTTTTTACAGTGTTTAGTTAATGCTAATCGATTAACTTGTAATCTCAAATCTTTCGTAAGAGATTTTTCCTTTGAAGTGTAAATTGTACAGGGTGTTCAATGTTCATATAGTTCTGTTCATATAGCCTTTAATAAATATGTTATTCTCTTGGTATGAGTCTTTCATTTTTAATTAAAATGTAGTTTTAGGAATTTGACAAGACTGTTGTCGAAAGTTGCAGATTGTGTGACTCTTGGGCAAACATTTTGTTGTATGTCAGTTATTAAAATATTTTTACATATAATCGACGAGGAGTCATATCTCAGTTTCATACTCTCTTAATCTTACATATAAATGGCCAAGTTATATTTTAAAGCCATTTTTATTTTGTATCATGAAAAACAATCAGATTTACAACCCCACAGCACAATGTGAAAGGTGAACGACATGTTCTCTTCTACTTATATAAGTGCTGACTTTATATAGCAAATATTAACACAACGCTATATTGCGGACTCTGAACTGTGTGAAAGCTCTTGTTTTCTAGTTGTAAAGATCCCAGTCCTATCATGAGGTACCTTATAAATTATTTATTTATCTACAGCGATGATGAGGATGAACTATTTTTATCTTACACAAGACCAACTGCAAATCAAGTCAACAGGCAATTAACAAAACAATTAGAAAAAGATGGATATAGACTCGATGAAATGCCAGATGATGAGGAACTGGACTTGATTCCGCCTCGAGAATTTAGAGAAGCTCGTTTTTGTTCTTGTTGTAATGCTTTTAATATATCTTGTGCCATCATGTAATCTTCACTACTGCAAGAGCTTTAGTTTTCCAATCATCTGAAATGGATTCACACTGAATCCAAGTGGCTTTGGAATATGGGCACATGCTATGTGCCACACATAGTACAGAATACAGATACTATACGTATTTTGTTAAACACATTGTGGTAAATTTTCTATATTTAGTGGAGTATTATTGTATGATACTTTCTATACTAAATCCCCTGTTATCGTGTTAGTTTCGTTGGCGGGGAAACGTTTTGCTACGAATCTATGATCAATCGCAAAATCAATTATCAGCAGCTTTAAAACATTATACTGTAAAATGTGAGGGCTCAGATAGTACGCAACTTTTAGAGTCCGAAATATTATATTTTTTGGACATTTAAATATACCGTAAGTACAAGCTATGTATTCATCAATCATTTAAAAGTATTATATTTTTCAATGTACAATGCACCTGTTGCCACCCTTTGTACTTGACAAGTGTTTTATGGTGGAATTGGTGTTGAACACTTTCAAATTTTGATGCCATATATGCCACATTGATTTTGGAGATTAATTTGTGTTAGCTTCACAAGGGATGTTGGATGTAAATCAAATGAATGTATTCTTTTTAAAGTATACTTCTCTTACATTTGTATAAAGATAATTTTATTGTTTTTTTTTCCCGAGTGTGTATTGTTGTTTTTTGCAGTATCTCTTTATTCAATTAACTTCATAGTAATTAGCCATTATTTTGTATTGTAACTGTAAAATCTATGCTTAAATTTAATTTTTTCGCCACTGATAGGATATTTACACGTTTATTCCGGGGAAAGAAAAGCCAGATGGCTTAATCATCTGGCGTACCACAACCTCTATTATAAATTTATGATGGACTTGTGTCCTGCAGATGAAGACTTGATGGTCAGGCCATTAAGTGTTGTGTTGCATTATAAGAATTATGATGTGATCACCTTTGCAATTACTTATCAGCTCCTTATTGGTGATAGATCCTTGAATGTGATGTGTGTTTTCTTGCCACATATGATGACCTGAGTTCACAGATAGAACAATAATACTCTCGCACAAAACTTCCACTATTCTACGCCTATGCTTGGCAGTGGGGAAGATTTGAAACAATTGCATATCTGTTTTTACTTTTCTTGTATATAATTTTCATGCACCCATGTTATTCACTGTGTTATTAGAACTCCATTGAAGGAATGATGTTGTTCTCTTTATTTCACAATGTTTGTTCATTTTTTTTTCTTTGCATTTTGATTCCATTCTTCAAAGTCATTTGTTTCTTACTTTTTCACCCTCAAGTGAGTGTATATTTGAGTCGCTGAGTAGATATTGTGCAATTAAATTGTGTGTAATTTACAGTTTAAGGGTTATGGCAAGGTACTAGAGTTCAACCTGTAGGATCCTAAAATTTAAAAATCGGATGGTAGATTGAATTGATGACAATTTAGCAACAGTCATGCTTTCAACTACCACTTGTGTTCAAGTAGGTAGAATGAGATATTTCATTAGGCAAGTGGGGCGTCTTATCGTTTGCTCCTTCTGAACTATAAGGTCCCATATCAAATAAAGAAGTATAATTAGAAATAGGCACGGTACCGGTAAGTATAAATAACGCAACCGCGAACGTTTAAATAGTTTTAACGGATGACACATAAAAGTGTTACCAAGAATTGAATAAGATTGCAGAATTTTCGATAAATAATTAGCCTTGGCAAGTGACCGCAACACGAACAATAATTTAACATAGCGATCCATATGTGCACTTTGGTCACCTCTCCCGTGATGAACGCCCATGGCAGAGTAATGTGATATAGGTATATTCCTTATGTGAGCTAGAGAAACCTAAATCAATGTTTCATGCTATGCTGCATTAATTATTTTCAATATCTACAGCTTTTTATTTTTTTGCTGTAGATTAATTTATTGCATGGTGCTCCAAACTCCGGCCCGCCGACACATTCCGTGCGGCTCGCAGAACAATTTTAAAGTACACTCCTAAACCATTCGCAGATATTTGTATTTACAAGCAGAACAATTTGGATTTATTTTTAAACAATTCCAACCGAGAATAGTCCTTTTCTTAATTCCGATGTCGGGATTGATGCATGTTAAAATCACGGAATTTCATTGTTGTGTCTATAAACGTTAAGAGGGTGCCTACATGGGAATGGGGTCCTGTCGGTAAAAGGTGAATGAATTGTCATGTGCAGACACGACGAAGCCGATGAGCTCGCGTCAAGTAACTCCTCATTTAAAGATACGTTTTGTGCCTTTGTTTTAGTCAAAACAGTCCTCTATTTTTAAGAGTTGGCCATGTGACAGCAGTGGCGAACCGCAGAGCTGATTTAATTAGCGACGCGCGATCCAGTTTTTTTATTATCTGGGTTTGAGGTCCCAACTTAGACGGACTGTCGGACTTGGTTGTATTTTGAGCGTAACACTAAGCCTGCTCACGTTACAAGTAATAATAATTCATCAATCATCATACAACGAGTGTAGAAAAGATACTGGAAGTACCAAGATATTTCTCAGAAAGCAATTTTAAAATAACTAAAGGCTTTATATAGTTTCCTTGAAAAAACTGATTAGAACGATAAACTCTCATTCCTAAATATATTTAAAGTGATTAAATCGCGACGTTTTGATCACTTTTGGGTTTTCTCCGACTGCGGCACGCGAGACCTCCTCAAAAGTTTTTGCGGCCCTCCAACCTCGCAACCTTGGACCACCCTGATTTATTGGTCGTACTTCGGTCCTGTTAATAACGTGAAATTTCAAGGTAAGGGAGTCCTCATCGCGTTTCTCAACGTTTACCCGAATGCACAGTAAACAGCACAAATGTTTGATTACAGCGTTTACCGTTAATGTATACGGTATACCGTTACCGCTTGTACGATATTTTAGTTCTGGGAACAATTTCAATTTTAGCAGCTACTCAAGAGTCTCAGACTGAGTTCAATCAATCAATTTTATGTTGAGGCATGGTTGTAGTCATAGGCGGTTTTGCTGGCCGGTTTTTGGTAGCATATCCCATATTTACGTCTAGATCAAATACTGGTAACTACATAGTCATTTTGTCTATTGGTATCATTTCTAAAGCACTGTCACCACAGAGAATACTGTCACCGGTACCGTCAGCGAATTTATCCTGGCTGCTTTTTCGGGACCCAATTTCAATGAATATACCGGTACTAGCACAGCAACTAAACTAAAATTCACTGATTTAGGATAGGATTTAACATATTTATCCCGGGGGAGAGGAAAGCCGATAAGACGGCTTATTCATATGGCGAACCACGGCCTCTCGTCCGGTTACCATTCCAAGTCGGGTATGGGAATAGTTATATTGTGGAGCATGGACTTGGTGGTGGAGGAAGCCGTAACCGACCAGCGGTTACGCAAACCACCCAACGACGGAGAGGAGTCCAGCAATCCTCTCGCACATAACCATCCCTGCATGAGATTCGAACCTGCGAACCCATGCAGAGTAATTAGAGGTGCGGTGGCGAGCGTATTTCTAACGCTTAGCCCGTTGAGCCACACCGCCGCGCCATTTATACCTAAATTTCAAAAACTTAGAACTGAAAAATACCGTAGATAGCAAAACCACAATCGTTGCCGTCTTGACCTGTATGTTATCTCTGTAATCATGACTAAAAATCGGTCAGAGTAAAAAAAAAATCAATTGTTACGTCACCTTTGACATTTTGCTGATAATTCAATATCACGGAAGTAAACAAGGAAGTCGGTGCTTTGGAAAAATATCAACATGCTTGAAGCTTGCATTTGTCGTTTGCCGTACCTGTTTCATGTCTAGAACGTGTAATTGCGACTTGTTGAAGGACCGTAATTTGGTTTCACTGTTTGCTTTGTGATGTAGTCTATCTAGTGTATCGCTATTTTGGGATATCACACTTCTTTCAGTCTTTAATTAAAACGGTTACCGTAACTTCTTTTGGCAGACTGCAGGTGCGTGCAGGACTGATGTTACTGTACTGATGTTACCTTATAATTCTGCCATATTTCTGATACTTTTCTCATATTTTATACTGTAATATGTTTGTTTTTATCATTTATTTTATTGACTGTTATGCTGAATATGGTTGCATGGACACGAAATATACGATACTGTACTTCAGTATCTGAACTCAATTTCATTATTCATGAAAACTTTTCAATAATCTAGTACATAATTGGATAATTAAGCTACAACTTCCTAAAACTGTGAAAGTGCCGTTCTAATATTATTAACTACGTTCGTACGGTATCCAGACCTACTATACCTACAGACTTATGGAATCAACCTGCGATATCAACAATGAGGTGAGTGCCTAAATATGAATGAGGATAAATGTAATTTTAATAACTGAATAATGCAGAACAGCAGAATGGTACCTATGTCACATATATTTCAATCTTCTCTCTCTCTCTCTCTCTCTTTTGAGGTACGGTAATCTGGCACCAAAAATATATCAACATTGATAATTATTTCACCTGCTGAATGAGATTAAGTTTACTGTCGATTTGCATTTAAATACACAACAAAAATATCTCAATAAAACAGCGCAAGTTTATGTAGTCTAAAATATGAATATTATTCAACTTCTTTTAGATGATAAAAATGAGAAAGGAAATCAAACGAGGGAAGATATGGGCAATTACAAAACTTGTTCGGAATGTTCGTAATCTTCGCAATAAAAAGTAAGGAATGAGAATAATAACGGTTTATTTCATATCACCTAATACTATGATAACTTAATTTTAAACAATATAATTTTATATTTTTAATTTATATTTTGATTTAAAATTTGAAGAAACAATGTTGTCATCATCAATCTTTTATGTACCGATTATAGAATCACTAAACAGCATTGGTTCATTACTTTGATTTGAATTGAAAATTTTCATTTCATCATTCCCAACAGTGTTTATGTTCAATGTTGATTGCATATGACACCCAAATGGTACTTCTTTTAATCTTTCGAAACTTGCTTCCTTCAAAAAAGTTTTCTGTTGTCTTCACATGCTGGCTGCAAGATCTCTCTCGCATCTTCTAGTCGGAGTCTAGTCAAAAATGCCAGAAATCTTTTTCCTGAACTTCAGTTCTGTGTAATATTCTACCTGAGCTGACTTCTTATCGTATTGGCTCGAACTTAAACAAGTCTCACTTTAACATTTAATAGTGTGTAATGGACTAGTACTCATCGGTACTCATGTGAGTGCCACTGAGTTGTGAAATGCAAACTAGCGCCATGTACTATGTACATGTATCATGTTGCTAAATTGGCAATAAAATGTTCTTATTATTTCTAGGGGAAATGAGATGCAATTGTCAAAAAACAAAAGAAGAGCTGAAAGACTAATTGAAGAAATTGACGTTATCAAGGTACACTATTTAGCATTGTTACATTTTTTGATATCAACATTTTTTTCTATTTATAAAATTTTTGTTCAGTCGAATGAGTTATTTGTTCACCTTAGTTTGACACTGATCATCATGTCAAGTGTAATTTCAATAGGCCCTACCAAACTGTGAGTTTTGAATTTTTCTTCGTTTTGTTTTTGCTATTTCTCATTACAGGATCTGAAGCCTGACGATGTATTTAAAGCACTTTTGAACTCTGATTCAAAATCATGTCCGCAGTCTTTAATGAATTCTGATTTACCGCTGACGCAAAGGGCAATTATTCGGATTGGTTCTGCAACTTTTATTCAAACCAGGTAGATAGAATTGTTAATGTGGTTTGATCAACTTCGTTTTTGTGGTTTTTCTCTTCAATTTCACTCATCATCAGCCTTTAGCTTTCGAGTAAAATAATTTGAACTTGAATAAAAATTACCGTAAACTCTTTTAGTGGAGGAATATGTTTTAGAAATGTTTGACCAAATCTTAATAGCTCATTTTTATTCTTTCATCAACTCTTGGTGGGCTCACCACTTTCACCCGTAGTTCCGGGACTATAATCGATAGCCTTCCAGGTTAATCATCGGCATGACATAAATAATGTGTTATATACATGTATGTGCTTGCTTGATATTAGATTACAGTTCATTTTAATTTTTTCAACACATTTTAAAGTATGTAATTTTAATGTAGCAATCAAATTGTTATTGATGGCTCATAATTTTTTGTAGCCTATTTGAAGAATTGATTAGCTCTTTGATTTTGATATCACCCACTATTAATTACATTTGATATAAAATCTGATTCAGCAGCAAAAATTATTTTCTTGTGTTTCCAGAATGTCTGATATCAAGAATAAAGTATCCACTTTCAATCTTGAAAGAACCAACAAACCACTATCTAAAACGATTGAAGAATGTGAACCACCATTAAATGATGTTGGAGGTGATAAATTTACCGTATATAAGAAGATTCTATGCACTATACCTAAATACGTGCGCGCTCATATTTATTTTAGACTATTTTGCAACATTCTTTTACATCTTCATTTTTGTGTTTATAATGTGATTCAATATCCAGTTTAAATTTCAAGATGCTGATTTTTGTAAACCACATGTATATGTAGCAATGGTCAGCTCTGGTCAAAATAGCATATACTGTATTTCATATAATAAAATTAATTATTTGAATATCTGAATGAAATTCCATTGAATTTAGCAGAAACTGGTCAATACATTGTGTGATGTTCAGCTCAAGCTCTAGTAAGAACTAAGAATGATCATAAATTTTCTCTGACTACTCTGAAATTTATGTTTTTTGCCAGATGTGAAGCAAGATAACGAACTACAAATGAGATTAGAAACAGCGACAAAGAACTTGATGCAGAAAAAGCCACTTCCAAAGAAACAAAAGCCAAATCAATTCCACGCATTACAAACTGACAATTTAAAAATTGATGAAATTTCTAGTAATCTCATGCCAGAAGAAAACAATAGTACTGAGGATGGCGATAGTATGGAAGGTGATATTATTTCGGACGATGAAGAAGAAGAGAGAGAAGCTTCTAATGATGATACTCCCTACCAAAGTGATGATGATGTTGCAGTAACAAAAGAAGACGCAAGCCCTATGGTGGTAGGGTATAAATTGTACTTCATTCCTGACTCAATTTTTTGCCCATAATGTGAAATAACAGCAGCCAGAATATAATCTTTTCCAATTTTGAAAAATGTCGTACCTTAACTTCCCGTTATTGTTTGTTTCTTAGAAATTATTTCTTATATCCTATTTGTAGGTGGAAGAGCGAATAATTGGAACAACAGCTGAAGGATATCAGATTGTATTACCATTACTTCCTACAACACATGACAAATCAGTATCTCAAGAAGCCAACAAGTAAGAGTGAAAGTATAATAAAATATAGCTTCTTGTCATTCAAGATATCCAAAAAGCTTCGCAAGCTTTCGAGTTTCAAGTTTCCTAATCTGAAGTGAGATTATGGGGAAGAAATTAGGGTAACAAATACAATGTGAATGAATATATGAGAATGTATCATATCCAACATGTATGTGTGTGATGCGTAGTAGCCCTTGCTGCTGTCTTTCTTGTTATAAATGTGAAAAATCAGTCATTCACAGATATTATGAATTTTTTTTCAAACTTTCCAGAGGTAGCCTCACTGCAGGTAAAAATATGCAAATTATATCCATATTGTTTTTCATAAAATTATTTCATCACTCCACACAGAAAAAATTTCAATGACATTGCTGAAGGGGCTGAGGATGTCACAGATGTTTTGACAAACATAGGAGAAAACTTTCATTCTGATGATGACGCTTCTGACAGTGATATAGGTAAAACTTAATTTTCAATATTTGTCCTTCAATAATATCTATGACTGAATGAAAAATCTATTGAAGTTGACTCCAGGAATGGCGAAAAACAAGTAATTTGCTATACCGAATGCATTCTCAAATAATGTATTTGAATATGGATTATCAAATATATTCTAAAATCTGAAATCGGAACGTTCAACGCTGAAATTTTTTCAAACCAATGTGATGTTTAGTGCATGATTGCTGTACTGTAACGATCACTGTAAAGTTTGATGTAACATCGTATTCATTGATGTTCTCTTTTTATGGTATTTTTTTAGTTGTTTTAGTCATTCGATTCATTTTAGACATCCTTAGTTAAATTGCAGGTAACTTAATAACCTACCTTCTTAACTTGTTTATCTAATTTTCATCATCATTAGAGTATGAGGATTTGGCAGAATTAGCTTTGAAATCGAAACAGAATTTGAATAAAGATGCTGAAAATAAAGAGGATATGTTTTTTATGGATGCAAAAGGTAAATGTAATAATAGCATTATCTTCAAAGCCAATTACAATTGTTACAGGGCGCAGCCTATAAAATGTACACATTTGCTTGTAGTGATTTTGCACGAAATATTATTTCAGACCCATTTGATATGATATCAAAAGAGAGTTGCTATACTCACAAGTCTAACAACCAAACATTACATACTGTATCTTGAGCGTTTTGATCTGCCATGATATTGTCTCTTACTTGAAAATAGTTCAAGTCTATATCCTAAGCAAAATTGGACTGTAGTTTTGACTAGCTAGTGCATTTTGGGATTCAAATATCATGAGAGGGATTTTTGTTTGAACACTGTTGATATAGTTCTTGTATGTTCACATTATTTGGTTCCAAACGTTATTGAATTGTGAGATGTCCTCTTAACAAATGATATCAATAAAATTAGTCTTAGTTGAGAAATATTATTGCATTATAAGGTTCATCTGATAAAAAGTTCCAACGTATTGTTAGCAAATCCAACAAATCTGAATCATCTGATGATGAGGAATTAAGACAAGTCAAGTCTTGCTTTGTTGAAAGCTTAGCAAGTGTGTCACATCAACGTACTAAAGGTAAGTCATGGTTTCTATTATGACAAGATAGATTTATATGTAATCGTATCATGGAGTCGTGCCAGGAAAAATTGTTTTTTTTCGGTAACATATAAATAAATGTGTGTAGTGGCATGGTTGCTCAGGTTGACAGCACATATTTACCCAACCATGTTGTGCTTTGAGTGGTAGTTTCTGGTTGAAGCCGGTTGCCCTATTGTCAACCTAAGATTTAATGAATCTAGTATACTATTTTGAACTTGAGAACATTCTTTTTATTTGAAATGAAGTATGTTGAATGGTATGTACGAGTGGCTGTTTGTCTTAGGTGGTGGCGTAATACTCCTCATAATTTTCATTTGATCTTCCTTCCGAGAAAAGTTTGGTTTGGCTGTGAGCTCTCAACCGCGAAATGTCAGTATATCCTCAGAACAAAGAAATCTTTATGCCGGAAGTTTTTTCTAAGAACTGTTTCTAAGTCTCACTTTGCTCAACATCTACTAGCTTTCAATACCACCACCATCATAATAAGTCATAGCTTTTGGCATTTGATACGTCACCCGTAATTCATCTCAAAGATGGGTCTCATACTTCTGAGTATGTGCGTGTGAATAAATTCTCTTGAAAGAATTCTGTAATGACTATCCTTTTAGTAAATTAAAGCTATTAAATCATAAAAATTTGAAATATGAATAAGTATTTAATGTAAATGTGTTTTGATTTTATTCAGGTAAAAACAGAATGAGTCAAAGAGCAAGAAAAAGATTACATTCAAAAAAGAAGACTAGCGAACACAGCAACAATAATGACTCGAAAAAATCGAATTCAACTAATAAATCTGGAAAAATGCAAAACAACCCGAAAACTGAGACTTCTCTGAAAACTAGTGAACTGCAACCATTCCATCCATCATGGGAAGCAAGTAGAAAGAGAAAGGAACAACAATCTGTGATAAAACAATTTAAAGGAAAACGTGTTTGTTTTGATGATAGTGATTAATAAATATCTGAATATTTTCTCCCAGACTATCTTTGGATAATGAAACAGTGAGTGATTTGGCAGGCAATTTTGCACCAAGATGGCACACAACCTGAACATTGTATGTGTGTACCGGTTAGGATTCAGGTTGTGCGACATCTTGGTGGGCATACTTCTGGAGCACCCAATTTTGTACCAAAGAATTGGTTATGTTTTTGTTTTGTTTCCGCTTTTATAAAGTTCCATAGGCGAGCAAAACCACTATATTATGTGGATGTTGAGTTGGTCTATTTTGTAACTGCTTTGGCTTTTCCTCTGACGTTTCGAACTCAACATTCTTGTATAAAGTTAACGGAATGTGAAAAGGGCTCAACTGTGGAAGTCGAATTCCCTTTGCGTTATTGATGGCTAGACTAGTATGTGTCATAATCATTCGACTGGATTTAAATGTTTTCGCTTTCGTTAGTCGGGGTGTTTACCACAACTATCTGCTCCAGTAGACATTAAGGTCATCCGTCTCAATCAGGTCACGGGGTTGAGTTACAAAAATGCAATAATATATGACAGAAAAGCTCCTTGTATGTTTTGCTCTAGAAACCATATAGGGACGTATTAGTATTACTTACGCGAATGCGGCCCAATATCATTTCGCAATTGTATGATTTTGGTTGTCGTGGGCTAACCCCAATAGCATTTCACGGGAGAGTGGCGAAGCACGTACGACTAAAATCGGCGAACAAAACTCACGCTTCACGTGGCGAGGTCTTTTGACGAATTGATGCGATATCCACAAACAAGCCTTTGGTGTACTGAGAGGAGGCAGGTTACGCGAAGCTTAGAAATGATAGATAGAAAATAAATACATTTGCTGTGAATCGTGCATTAGTAACCATAAATCTCAGAAGCCAGGTTTGCTTGTTTTATGTAAGGTTTCCACAACGCTCCAGTGAAAACAGATTAAGAAGAATTCGAGAATTTTGTACTTATTCATAATTTAGACATTGCCGAAATAGGCAATCTCCCATAGTTTATATCTTTTCAAAAAATTTCACCTTTGGATAATACTGATTTAAATAAGGGTATGCTGGGGATAATAGATTGAACTCGACAAATCAATAATTTTATTATCCCTTCGTGTTTTTATCCACTCATTCAATGTATTAGTATATGATATTCAAAAATAGGCTACGCTGCTTCTCTGAAGTGAAATTACTCAAATTATAATTTGGAATTTATGATTGACCCGCGTCTTTTGAATCTATATATACCAATAAATAATATAACACTCCTAAAAAAAACGATAATTCTCATCACAATGTGTTTCATATGAAGAGTAGTGTTTAGTAAGCACATGTAGACATGATTATTATTAAAATAGTACTGCATGTATTGCTGTTTGTAAGCATTCACTGTTTGACTCGACAAAATCAACAGCTATTACGTCGTCTGAAAAGACAGTCAAGTCGTACAGGTTTGATTCCACCGAAGATACCTTATGCTTCTCTTTCAGCTGGTGTCGGTAGGTACATGTTACTGTTAAGATTATTACTCTGAACACCATATTTACATATTCATTCTTCTTAAAATAACATCCGCACGTAGATATGCCAGAATAGTAGTGTGACAATCCAACTTTTTGCAAACTTTTTAATATCTGTACAAACTGGAAATGGAATTATGTAAGAATATTTGAAACTTTTGGATCGGCAGTTTACCAACAATCTCGGTATTGAGAAATTTAAAAAAAGTAGACAGCTATTCTGAAATTAGTCGTCTTTTAATTGCATTTGCAAAGTCGCAAAAAACTGAAATGAATAGTTTAGCATCTAGCATTGCTCCTTCTGAGTGATAACGTCAACGAATACCGTATGGTGTTTAAACTTGAAAAGAGAAATAGAAAAACAAAATTATTAAAAGTTGATAATCAGTGCAATAAGCGAGAAAATGTTTGATAAAAGCAAAATAATCTGTTCTGAATGTCCCGTGAATTAATTTCCGGATCGGGACGAAAACTTCAAATCCTGAAATCCGACCCTAAAACAGAGATCATTCTATATTTTTATTATCGGAATTTATCACCTGCAGGTTGCAAAACCTCGATAAAAAAATATGAAAATACTACTTCAGAGAAACCAGTTTTATATACTTATATTATTCAAGATGACATATCTACGTACATTTAATAATTGTAAAGCTAGTACATTTGAAGCAATAAATTTAATAGACATCTTTCGCATTACATTTTTGTTTTCCTAGTCCCTTCGCGAGTGAGGAGCAGATTACGTAGTGGCGTCGGGTCATCGCAATCCACGACAGGTCAAAGAGGATCAAGTCAAGGGGCATCTACCCAGGGTACAGGCAGCACTGGCGCGACAGGTTACGGCCAACAGCAATATACAACAGGAGGTCAAGGGTATCCTTACGGCGGCAGTGCATATCCGAACACTCCGACTGGACAAGGTTATGGACAACAATTATATGGCCAACAGTCAGCTAGTGGCCAGGATGGACAAGCTGGTGTACCCCTGGGTCGCAGTACGTTCCCATATGCTAACAGTCAACAGGCTCAGCAAGGGTATCAGCAAGAATACCAAACACAGTCAAGTACCCGGCAATACCCATCAGTTCCACAATACGGCATGGGCAGAGGCGGATATCAACAACCAACGGGGTATCAACCAACGGGAGCATACAATCCGTATGGAGGTGTGGGTGGATATGGATACGGCGGAGGTTATCAAAGGGGAGGGAATCCCTACGCAGCTGGTGGTGGAATGTACGGCATGCAACAAATGCCATATATGAATCCGTACGGCATGAGCCAAGGAGGTTACTACGGAGCTGGAGCCGGTATCATTTTACTTTTTGAATGCATTTTCTGGCTTTGTTGCTTTTAACGTACGATAGTTATAAAATACTATTGTGTGCAGTCACTGCAGTGTAACTTTGCTCCGCACGCTACGCCACTCGGGTGTAATACTTAGTGAGTAACTGTAACTTTGTGATAATCTGATAAGATAGCTCAAACACATAGCGAACCGCGACCTCACTTACTTGTTTCATATGCATAGACTTTAGTGACTTTAAAATCGTGTTCTAATGTAAGAGTTGAAGAGTCATGAGTTTTTTGTAGGGCTACAATGAAAAAAACGAAGAAAGTTATTTACATAACTTTGTACGTTTTAAGGTTACCAATCTCGTGGATATTCTGATGCTCCAAGCATTGGTTCTGCATACCGCGATCCAACGTCGCCATATACATCTTTCGTTCATCCCAATCCTCCATCAGCAGGTTCATCTAGTAGATATGGTGGAAGACAGTACGGAGGATCTTATGGTGGCGGTGGAAGGTCGGGAAGTTCTTATGGAGCAGCGAATCCGTATGGCTCGAGCAGTACACAAGGAGGATATGGTAGCGGTGGATCTAGTTATTATGGCGGCAGTGGCTCTACTGGAGGCTATAGTGGAAGTTCTTACGGCGGAACTCAATCGCCTACAGACAATTCTTACGGACAAACGTATGGCGGATACTCTAACAGCGGAGGAGGGTACGGATCCACCGGAGAATCCGCTGACTCTGGGGCACAAGCTGGAGGCGTTCCGAGTTACGGAAGTTCGAGCAGTTCAAGTAATCCGTACGGAAACACTGTTGGCAGCGCATATGGTGGCGCGTCCTATGGCGGAGGCAGCTCAGATGCTAGCGAAAGCATTTATGGACAAACGAGTGGCTCCCGATATGCAACCAGTGGAAGCAGATACGGCTACGGTGAAGGCCAGTATGGAGCCGGGGCATCCGAATCCGGTGGTGGTTATGGTTCATACGGACAATCTCAAACATATCAAAGTCAAGGCGCGGACGCTGCTAGTTCGCAAAGCAGTGCGGGCCAAAGAGGTGTGGGTGACAGTCAAGTAGGTGGGTATTATAATCCATTATCGTCTCAAAGTTCTGTATTACCTGGTGCTGTTGGTGCACAATTCACACCGCCATATCAACAACAAGGACAATATGGTTCGCAGTCAGAAGTCGCAGGAGAAACGAGAACACAAGGCCGATTTTCATCACAGCAGATTTACCAAACTGGGAGATTTTACAGTCCACAGACTAGCGATTCCAATACACGGGTGAGTTCTTGATGTTATTAATCTTTAACTACTTTGCTCAACTATCTCTGTGATGATAACTCTTTACATAAATACTATCGACAGGATAAATTGATATGCTCCTTTATTCTATTCTGCAGATTAAAGTTTAAATTTGACTTGTTTTGGACATGAAAAGTTGTGATATAGGTCTACACAATCATGTGATAGACCTACAGATATTTACACTTTGTTAATGTTGACGTCAACCCTTTCATGTATGCGTGCGAATGTAAACATATATTCATTTTTTCTATCAACAGAGCGAAGACCAACTGGGAGTAGGCGTTTCTGCAGGCAAGTTATTTGTTATCCAAGAAATAGGGTATTCTCACTTTTTATCGTACGATACAGGTCTACAAAAAATGCCCACAACAAAATGCAAAACAAATTTAAAATAAATCTGTATTGGTAACTTCTTGCGAAACGGAACATTTCAAATATTTTTTTATGTAACATTCCTGATGTAATCCTGGTATCCTATGGCTTACGCAATGTAATATTGATGTCTTTTCTTGGTTATTATTAGAGATGGTTCAATCTGTTTATCAATTCATCTTTTTCGGTCTTAATTATCCGTCACCGAACTGTCATTAATTGAAAAATATGTTTTGCACTACCGTTATGCTTGAATGATTTTAGGTGGCGACGCGGATTCCATCACTCCGTCATCATCTGACGAAAGCCCTTCGGCGCCTGTACCTGCGGGTAAGTTTATTATATTTAAACCGAGTTCAACTACCTAACAACAATTACGTTTTCGCACTTCTATTAAGTATTTTTCTATATGTATAATTCCATTGTCTGTTGTCCATAGTATGTAACCCAAAAATACATAGCTTTGATATTTGATATTACGCAACACTTTCTATTTCTCAGATGAACCATCCGGATCTCGATCAGTGTACCCAGACCACCAGGGTATTTTCCTTGTACCAAGTCGACTGCAGCCAAACCCTGAAGGTAAATTAATGATAGGGAATGCGTACGCAGTTGATGAATACTGCGCTGTGTACTTGAGTTCTTTGATCTTCTCGTACTTATTATGTAGAGTCGATTGTTCTATTAGTGACGGAATGGAGCGATTTCTCTCTGAAGCCCAGCAATCACGACAATTAAGTATAGCGATCCATAAATCCACATTGCGTTTAGTATATTCACCATAATATTATCACCCTCATAATAATCCGACTCAAAAATAAAATAGGGACATAAAGAATCTTGAACCAAGTGTCTCTTAAATCTCGACTCGATATCTACACTCTCTGAGATGAATTCTTTTCCACTATAAACTTGAAATGTCGTTACAGTTCCATTTTATATGGAAATGATTTTGTATTTTAAATAGAAACCCGAGAAGTTGAAGTGCAGGGTAACGAGCGAAATAAAGCTGGTAAGTTAATTTTTACATACGTTTATAACCGTTACCCTGTTTAGTAGGTTTATTCAATAATGTACGATACAACTTTTTGCAATTTCTGAGCTGGCCAGTTATATTAGTGCAGTATACGATTGTAATTTCGCAAAGTATGTCAAAAGATGTTGTCTTGAGTATGCGCGACCAGTTAATATTGCCTCGGCTTATAAAGTATATATTACAGCATTAGGGACTGACACCGCCGTGGCTTCAATTTGTGACCTGCGTTATATTTTAGTATAAAACGGGTAGCCTACGTTTTGGTGTTTCATGGCGTGTTATCTATCTAAATTCTAAACGTTGTATGTGTGTCTTTCATTGTTTACCGATTTTATTCAGAACGCAAAGAACCTTCAACGAAACGTCCCCACCCTTCGCTGAGAAAATGTAGAAAACTCTCAGACGGTAAGAACGTTTCAGTAACTTTCACGCGATGCTATATGCTAACTGTTTTTATTTTTATTTATTCGTGTGATTAGGTCACCAATCAGTTGATTAAAACAAAAGCAGGGTTTGTCTGTTGATCTCCTGAATCTATATATAGGGTGACCCTAAAGGATTTTTCTAATCAGTACAACGGAATGAACAACATATATATATGTCACACTTGAACTTTTGGCTGTGTATGTTCATACATAAAAGTTTCAATAGGACGCTTTACACAAAGTCATCCCGTATTACTTTAATTATTTGGTATATAAATGTTTTGAAAGCCCTAAAAACACGGTCCACTTTCGTCCTACTAGATTTATTAATTTAATTACCAGCGAGAAAGCTTTCCGGTGATTGACATATTTACACAACTAATTGGTACGACTGAAAATGTTTTTTTTTTTTTTGATATTTTTGTAGCTTTTATTTATTTTAGGCCTTCCAGATATTTACGTCGACGCAGGTAAAATGCAGAAATCGGTTTTTGTTCAGACCAAATCTATCTCCAAACTTTCTTGTGCAAAAGAAGAAAATTGCCTTGCCAAATCCGCATACGACCGTAACCCAGTTCCAGTCAGGCATGTTGATATTAAATTATGTGTATGAACCATATGTTCAACAAAATACATATTTTAACAAAATATAATATATTGTTATTAAAAATAAAATGAGTATTAATGGCATTATGTTGCGGTTTACAGAAAATTGCTCAGATTTGCGACTGTTGTTCACAATGGAGGAACTGCTGTTTTTCTACCTGATGCCCATCACAGAGACTGGAAATACCATTCCTGCCACGAGTAAGACTTTTAATATTTGTCTTTTATGAAAATATTATCATTTTATGACGTCATCAGAAAACAACCATTATTCTATATATGTATCGGTTATTAAGGTATAATTTATTTCACATTTGAAAATATATATTCCCTTTTGAATCTTTCCACCAAAACACAAAATTCGTGCGAAGGAGCAAATTTGGATGAATTGAATAATGGGTTTCAAGGTGAAATCTTTTCTTTTCTTATGGAAAATACGATTATGAACAATTCTGCAACGATTGTAATAAATGAAATGTTTAATACAAATATCCAAACTCATCAATTGCCACAAAAACACACACGACTCTGTACATGCGTAACTGGAATGTGTCCTTAACTTACATATATTTTTTTTAAAGCCACTACCACAGCATGAAGGAATTTGCTCACTTTCATCTTTTATTTTCTAATGGCACCATTGCGGCTGAAGGGCATAAAGTTAGTTTTTGTCTCCAAGATAGTGGATGCAAAAATCCCTGTACGAAAGAGTAAGAACAACTTTTTTTTGATTGATGTAAAGAGTATAACAAATGGAAAAAAAAACATGTTGATGACGATTTCTATTAGTTGATTATTTCGTGAACAAACCACTGGTGTGGCGCAGTATTTTTTGAATAAAATATGTGTATTTGTGATAATAGTGAAACTGGTGGTTGCTCGCAAGTCAGGAGTTCAGTAACTTTTGATCAAAGGTTAAGGTAATTCCGTTTCACAAGAACCTTTATGTCTGGATTACGCCACTGCGGTCTTGCTTAATACGCATTCTGAAAACCACTGATTTGCCTGTTTTCATATTGCCACTCGATCGAAAATTCATCTTCGGTAGTCACGATTTGCCTTCAGATTACTCGCGGTCAAAATTATGTTTGACTATTAACTCTCAAATGCTACGTTAATTTTCAACATTTTCGTATTTGCTATCAATCAGGTTTACCTGCAACAAAACAACTCAAGGAATTTCTCCTGGATGCCACGATGATTATCTCGCTTCACGAGACTGCCAGTGGATTGATATTACCGACGTTGTTCCTGGAGCATACACCTTACGTGTAAAACAACTTGCTATAAATTTATACCCATGCTAACTCAGCTTATGTATTGTACAATTTACGTAAACAAATTCTATACTGTGGTAAAGATCGTAGTATATTAGTATTAAATTATTAACTAAATGATGAGTTCCCCGAATTTGCCTTTAAATATTCCTAAATTAAAATATTTCATTTTTGTTAAAGGTAACTGTCAATCCATTGGTGAATGGTATCAGAGCCGTACCTGAATTGTCTTACACGAACAATGCAATCGAATGCCCTGTGAGCATCACAATGACGAAGGCGGAAACAACCGGAAGATGCAGACTGAAGAGATAAAAAAAAGTTGATGAAGAACATTTGCACACTTAACAAACTATCTTTAAGAGTTCATTCAGTAGCGAGCATATCTTAGTTATTAGTGTAGTTTTATTTCAAATATTCTAGATTGCCCAATTCATTATTCAATTAAATGTTTATGTGGGCCTATAGAAATATCATTATCATTAAATTTGCGAAACTTCTGTGGTATACCGTCCCAAGTGCATTTTTTCCTAATTTGATCCGCGTTTGATGTGGATTTTGACTTGCGGCGATGATAGTTCTACGTTGATTCGACGTCCGTGTTTTTAACAAATTAATGTAAATTTAGCACTAAATCTTTTCAATACTGGTAATTTTGGTACAATCTTGAGTTTTTCTTTAGCTCGTTTATTCGTATTGACGTATATATCATAATGATTGTAAACTATGATTGAAATTGTGATTTCTCAGTGTGTTTCTCTTTCATTTTCAGTCAGTTATCCATGATTCGTAACTTTATTACATGACCTGGACGGACCCTTTTTAGAGAGATTACATTATTCTTGATTTTTGTCAACTATTGTCTTGAAAAATAAATGTGAAAGCATGTTTTTCGTGCTAAAGAATAAAGCCAATTTCAATGTATATTATATAACTTTTGTCAAAATAAAAAACTTGACTACTTCAGGTGCTCATATATCAGTGGTATCCACTTTTCTGCTGCAAAGGATCTCCTTTAGTTATTAGAAGCGATAGCGAAGCTCTCACCCATTGCCAGACAGTGGCCAGGTCGGTTATATTAGAACTGAGACCAAAATTATTTTGCGCTGAATAACAGATTCGCCGTTGCTGCCGTAGCCTCCGAAAAAACAAGTCATGTTCTCCACGAAATGGAATAGAACTAACAAAGATTGGTAACGAGACGTTTGTTCTGCCAATTGTGAAGAAGCATTACCCGATACTTTGCATTGGTGAGACTATCAAGAAATTTGAAAAAAATTATTGTTATAATGGCATTTTAGCGACTTTTTTTTCGAGATGGCGCTATGGAGCACCGTTCGATGTCATTGATTATTTAATGTTCCTGGTCAATCGGAAGGGCTGGCTCAAGTTGAGCCCGAGGGTTAATTTTTTTGTATTCCCGTCGCTTTTTGTTTTGTGTTTCTATATGTTTTTGTGATTTAGATATCAAATAGGCCTAGTACGGTATGTATACTGATTTTATGCAAGTCGGACTGTTATAAGGTATTTTAAAATCAAATTTTCTGCAAATAGAATGCGAGAAAAATACAGCTAACGTTAAATGTTACCATTAGTTTAAAACAAAGGCTACTACAGTACCATGTCAGTATTTGAGGTCTCGTGTAGTTTCGTACCTAACGTACTTCTAGTGGGCGTAGCATAACAATTTTTTGACATGTCAATCCTAACCGCCACCTGACTACCGTGTACGCCATCCGAAAAATACCTCACTACGACATCACAATCACGTCATAGAGCTTGCCAAATACACGTACGATCGCCCGAAATGGCATCGGCGCCGACGCTAAAGAACTGACTAACGTCAGCGATCTCTCTCCTATCGGGATCGTTGCGAGCTGTTCGATTTCGGGTTCTCGTCTGCGCGTTTTAGGTGACAGTTCTTGTAATTTGAAGGGCTCTATTATGTCACTGTGACGTCTTAGTGACGTAATTTTTGGATGGCGTAGTCAGGTGGGGGTTAGGATTGATACGTCAAAAAATTGTTATGCTACGCCCACTAGAAGTACGTTAGGTACGAAACTACACGAGACCCGAATTTTTCTACTGTCTTTTTTAAATTGAGATATAGCCTGCATAATTTAACAGTTACAGTTAATACAGTACCGGTACTGTATCTCTGTACTGTAGTCTGTATAATTGTAGGCGAATTTATTTTGTGAATGACAATATAACTAGGTTATGTTAGATGGTTGGGGCACTTACATTGTTTCAACACAAACCATATTCTAAAAGTTGTTTGAAGACATGGACAACGATTCATTTTTCAATTAACAGTTATGAGTCAGTGAGTTGTTAACTAACAGACCAATATTAACTTCAATTTTTGTCTATTTATGAAATATAATAATAATTTTTAGTATAAGATTTTTTTTATGTAACTAGAACAAAAATCATATTAGTCATCATCGAGTAATTAATGGTGTCATGTAAAATGCTTTTTCAAATCTTAGCTAGTCTTATTGAAAAGATAGTACTTACGTTTTCCAGAAAAAAAAACACTGAGACTGATAACTCACTTCTGCACTCCCAGAATTCAGGAATTATATGTCATTCACTAGAAAAATTCATTTAATATTCCAAATTATAAACTGGAGGAGGATGTCATACTCATAACTAGCCTATAGATATGGGTCATGATAATGAGTCATCATCAATATAGGTGAGAGTAATCCTATGATAATTAGAATCAGGCAGCTCTTGAAATCGAGTTTCATAATATTATATGCCGTTCAGGAAATTCAATCGTTGAAGGTTTGTTGTAAGTGAATATTAGGATACGGCAAAATCCTAAATTGTAGCATACTCTAGCTAAGTTTGAGAAGATAGCGAGTAGTTATTTCTTCCAATTTTATGAGTCCTGTTTCTTGACTGATTTTTACTTTAATCCAGGAGAGAAGAAGTTGGGTGAGATTGCTTAATTATGGAATATGATAAACCACTACCTTCTGTCTGGTCAAGGGGGGATAGTTAACCAGCAATTGGGAATGGGGTTAAAAATATGAACCACTCTGCTGGGTGAAAAGTGTATCAAATACTTGCATTCAACAGAATTCGCATATGCAGACAGTGAACATACTCATTATGTTTAACACGAGGTGCTAACCATCAAGCTGCTATTGCATTGCATATGCACTAAAGCTAAAGTCAAAATTATTGTACTTACAGCTATATTGTAATATAACTTCCATTGGATTATCTCTAACGAAAGCTAAGGTGTTGATAGAGCTTATTACAAAACATTGTAAGGTTTGCTTATTAAACACATAATTGAATTATAAAATCTTATTGATTATTATACACTTCGATTGTTTAAATGGGATATCCAGTTTCGTTTGAATGTTCAATCACACCTTAAATACCTGAAAATACAAGTTATGTTCAAGCTTAGCATTTTCGTTTTCACTGATGGTTGCCTCAAATTATACAGTTGGTTAGGACTATTGAATATTACAAAATAGCTCTACAGTATATGTCATATTGGGTATTCACATCAACATATATTCAAAGAAATAGATTTACATTATTCCTATGTTCTATTTGTAATATGAAGGATTGGATCAACTTAAACAAATCCATCCAATATATTTTGAAATTTTACCTGGTTTTAAGATTCAGGCATTACTCAATATTCCCATGACCAATTGACTCATTTCCTTTTCTGGGAATGCTTTCTGCTATTCACATCATTATGGAATTGTGTGACTTTGTGTGCCAATTTTTTCTCAATACCTTATTAATTAAAGGCAAAAATGTACCTATTGTGTTCCATGTACGCTAAATTACCCATGTACTCCCATGTATTGATTGATAATTACCTAGTGCAGTATTAGTCGGAACAATTGGATTTCAATTAGCAGTTGGTGAATTCTCTCATGTTTCTAAAGTGACCATGGTGTAGTATTCAGCATAGTATAGCCCGAGGCAACACGTTTGTTTGGACCAACTGCACCAGTAGTAAGTAATACGATTATAGAGCAGACTTCGTTCTGATTGTATTAGTGGCAGTATTGGAAGCGCCTCGTACAATAATAGAGCCGAGTTATCACGCGGCAATATTTACCGCCATAGTATTTGGCAGCATTGCCGTTTTTTCAAGTTCGATTTGTCTTGCAGCCCTAGTCGTAATACAGTTACAAAGCAGACTTCATTTTGATTGTGTTAGTGTGGGTCGTTGATGCAGTATTGGCAAGCGCCTCGCACAATATTTAAGCAAAGTTATTACCGGGTAGCGTTTAGCACTTTTGCCGTTTTTTTTATTGTCTCGTCTTGTGATGGAGATAGTTGTTGAGATAGAAATATGATTTGATAGTGAAGCAATCGATTTACAATCCACTTGTTAGGGCGAGTATGTGAAGCTCCTCCCGCGCCTAGTTGTTCGCGACTGCTAGCTAAAAGTGTTTATTATGGGCGCCTTGGTCACCTTAACTTGCGAAGTGCCAACAAAAATTTCGAGTAAGTGCTAAATTAGTAGACAGGTTGAGATAATTTCGTTGCTAGACAGTTATTCCACCCGATAGTATCTTGGCTGCGACCAAGGTGAGATAGGATATTTTACGTAATCTCACAGCGAGAAACGAACAGCGTTTTTATGTATAGGGCGGAGACAGTTACTCTCTATAGAAATAATATTTATATGTTCCACGGCATCGGGTTCAAGTTATTATTACCTTTACTTCGGAGACTGTTCTCTGTCTTCGTATTGACTTATATGCCAATAATTTGAGAAAAGATGGCCGTTTTAGCAGTGGAACGTTTGCATGTGTTACGGTACCGAACTGTGTATGTTCATTTACTTCCCATTTCCAAAACTTACGAATACTTCAAGTAGGGCATTTTCTGCCTCATTGCCATCCCTACGAAACAAGAAGTACTCGCGCTTCCTGTTCTGCTCATTTCTTCTTATAAAAGCGATCGATAAATCCCCAATACCTCAAATCATCGATGACTGCGGGAGTAAACGTATTCTACTGCAGGCTCATGAAATATAGAATAGGTATGCATATGTTATCGCCAATGTCAGTCGACGCCGCGTATTGTATTGCAGCAGACATGCTGACGAAGATCTCCCATCGATACGAAAGATGAAAAACGTCTAATAAATAGACGTGTAGCACTAGCTTAATAAGTCTAATGCCGTTGACATAGCTGCATATTCGTACCTTATCGTAAATAACAGGTTTGAGGTGTTGCATTATGGTGAATGTGAATTAGTAACGTGTGTTGTTATTCAAACCTTACACAAAATATTATATTTTTTAAATACAATGTCAATGATTGTTTTTGATTTTGAAGTCAGTTCCGTGACATAGTAATAACATACTCCTGAGAAGTTATCGCGACGAAAAATGTTCGGATGTAACTCATACAGCTGCGTGATGCAAAAGTATTACGTGTATAATTACATTGATAGTTCATCTCAAAATTTAGAAAAGATGTTTTATAACCTACTACTCGTAGGTCGTAATCAGTGGCCAATTTTGTTAAAGGGTTCCGAATAATTTCTCCAATGTCACGTCGTTCGTGAATGAACATAACAATGTCGTCATATTTCGAGGTTTGAAAATTAAATTTTGGTTTTGGATAATAGTCTGGTAAGAGGAAAAAGCCTCACATCTGTCAGTTTTTGTTATTGTCGACATAATCAATTTTGAACCAACAGAGAGGTGAGAGTCAAAATGTCTTCACCACTTGAAAGAGTCCGTGCGCTTCACCTTTATGATCTTAATGCCCCAGTCGTTCAGGTGCGATAATTTTTCGTCGCGAACTTTAGAAAATTTCATAACATATTAGTGATAGCACGTCGGTGTTATGATTCGTGTTAGACCCGGCGGATATTAGATATAAATATTGGGTGGAGTAAAAACGCCGTTCGCACCTTTGTGATTGCAGATATGGTGGACGATAATAAGCGAATATAAACTGCAACCAAGCGTCCTTTTTCTATATCACAGCGTGCTAAAAATATCATATGGTTATAATCTCCGTATATTCGTCACAGTGTCTGATATATAGATGGGTCTGCGATATATAAAACTTGCTACACGCTGTGATGTACTGTAGATTCATAGTGATAGCGAAAGGAAAGTCTGGAGCCGACAAAGATTAAGTCTTTTGCGTAAAAGGATTTGTTTCATTTTGATTTAAATTCATGACAAGCGTTAGGATTCGTTATTTTGTAAAATAGTGTTTTCCACTGTAGTAGTTAGTGTTAATATTGTTGAGCTATAGGTTATAATAGCCCGTATGCTGTATTTCAAGGGGATAGCGAACTAGGGCTTTCTTGAAATTTTGTTAGTTTGTTACTACAACCATGTTTTTTATTCTAGATAAAAAGTTTTTTTAGTGTATTTTACCGTTCCAAGAGTCGTTCTTATTTTTTGCTATTCGTTAACAACATTCGAAGAAGGGAAATATATTTATTCATTTTTCTTGTTTGTACCATTGAAAATGGAATTACAATAAAATTCGACAGAATTTTGTTTGAATCAATATTTAATAAAAGAAGATTTTTGCAGAGAACACACTCCATTTTTACTCGGTGAGTAATAATATACTATAGATTTCAATTTGGTATGTTTTCGTCGGTGCTGTGTAACAATTTTTGCATTATTTACATTATTTAAGATCGGGACACTTCAACATGAAGAAAGCTCGTCTGCCTCTGTCATTGATTTTGACACTAGCAATACTTGTTTACCGATCATATGCTGACGAACGCCCTTTTGTTACTGCTTCGACTTCAGGTTTGTGCTTTTTAACATTGTTCTTCAGGTCCGGTATCTGATTTTCGTTGAAATAGTAATTAGCAAATAGTCAATATTGGATTTTTATATATATTTTATGTTCAACGGCAAAGGCTGCAAATATTACCAATGTTGTAAAATTAATCAAGCGAGTGACATTACCTTTATGCAAGGTTCAAAATAATAAGATAGATTTTGCTACGGGCAATTACAATACTATGGTATGCCCATCGCGATGTAATTAATGCCATAATAAAATCTGTACAGCGTACTTGACGATTTAATTCAAATTATAATAGCTTCCTGACTTAGGGTCAAAAGCTCAAATTAAGTTTTTAAAATTTGATACACCAATTTATCACGCTATTCAGTTTCCCTCATTTGCTCACTTGATTGTGGAGATTTTGAGTTTTCAATGCTTCATAATAAGATTTAACAATTCGTTATACTGTTGCCGATATGTTTATGAAGGTCAAATTCAATGTTATCTATATTCTAATTTGTATTGATTTGAACTGTTAAAAAGACTTTGTATGATATTCTGGTCAATTGATTCAAAAAGTTCTACAGAATATTTGTCTGGTCTTTGTGATTTGTACTCAGTCGGTAATACCGTTAAATTAAAGTTTTAATGACGCGACGGGAGCCTAGCCACACGTCAACAATTACGACATCGTTTTAGCGACAATGTCTATAATTGCAATTGTTGTATTATATTTTTTATGACGACATCGTTGGGTATTTTTTGCTTTACGACTGCATTTTCGGATTTTATGTCACTGACGCTAAAATCAACTTAAGTTATTTTTTGAAGTCGGTGCTTTAAAAATGATTTCACATTGAGTGGCTCAAAGGTACCCTTATGAAGCCAAATTTATTATGTATATTGTATTGGCTGGTTCACTCACCAGTCTATGAATTGTGGTATTCATTTGTACTCGACTGATCATCAAAGATCAAAAAATTCGACGCTACTTGACAAATCATCGGAAATCCTTCACGGGGTTTAATTTATTGATCGTTTTCAAAGACGATTTTTGATTTTTCATTGTTGTACGGTTTATTCAAGTCCCAGAGGCAACCAACATGAATGCCTTGGGAATGCTGGATTAAATTTGCAATTTCAATTTCATTGAGTCGAATTGCGTGTCCCTGGTTTAAGTTAGTTACGGTAATTAATAAATATATTCTCGGTAGGAACAGGTTAATAATATGAAACGGTTAATTTATTACTCCATATGGTGTTCGGTATCGCAAAATTCAATTTAACACGAGAATGAATAAGTGTACTTAGAATAAAGCCGGCATTTTATTGAAAATTTTTGATGTATCGGATCACACCATTCTGAGCAAATAATCAAATTGTGTTGTAAATTGTATCACGGGGTGTATATTTTTTAACAAATATTGACTACGCTATTTTCAAAGAAAGATTTTAGTCTACTCTCTATGTTTTTATACCAACATAAGTACCGCGATATGACGATGTTACTTTTGGTGCTTCGTTCAGAATTTGTGGTTATCTTTAGTGGGAAAGTATAGGGACAGAGCGCTCGTATTTATTATCATTGCCGTTATACAATGGATTTTTCAACACCGACTGATGTAATTTTGTTTAACCAATATGTCTTATGCTGTCTGTCGCTTTTATTACTGTATAAATGTCCACAACTCATTGGTTGTATGGTTTCTCACGCTTTTCAATATGAGGCAATTTCCTGTACGCTCATGACATCGTTGTTTTTGGCAAAATATGGTGCGAAGCGACACATTATGTCAGAAGACTACATGTCTTTTCGTATTTCCGTGTTTCCTGTTACCACATGCAACACCTTGTCGATAGATTTATTTTTGACAATGACATCTGGCCAACGATCGCGGTTGCATGATTAATCGATTTTACAAATGGATTAGAGCATCTTATATCATATAGAATTCTATTTGACATGGCTTTTCAGTTATACTTCGATGTTTATGAAATTATTGGTAACATGTATCGCTGCCAGTGTTACGTTCTTCAAATTATATCTGGTATCCCGTGCATGATAAAAAATAATATCGTCTTAGACTCGGGACTTTTGAAGGTTAACATTGACAATTCCGCGAAAGTCGGCCTGGAATTCGATATGCGACTGTCAATCTGTCACGAATACGAGATATCAGCGAATTCAACATCCTCCTATGCAGTATTTATCAGTATTGCTAATGCTATCGTAAGAAAACATGTCACCATATGGTTGAATGAATGTAAATAGTCTTGTATGTGAGATGTGTTACACCTGTTTTGTACGATTGCGGTAACAAGTTTTTACGCTGGTTGGTTTAATTCGCAAGCAAGCCAAGCTGCTGTTGACAAGGGTTTTCCGTTCGATTCGTGATAGGATTCCCGCACTTATGGTTTACAACTGTAACCCAAGTTTTGTAGTTTTTTGTGGATCTTTTCTTGTAGTCGATATTGATAAATTGGGATGTCCAAATTTTTTTGTTTTGAAAGTAATGCGTTTCATGATGCCTGTCAAGTGGTAACACTCGGTTTTGCTCATATTTTTCTTATTTCCAATTGGCATTCGACATCGTATCACATTCAGCAAGCAATCGATTGCCGAATTACGTCCATCCTTATACAAACAAATGTAATTAAAGGGTTCGATTGCAAACCAGTAATCATGTAATCTAAAATGAAGGAGCTTACACTAGAATATAATTATTCCGTGTTCTGGCGGACGACCAATTATGACCATCGATGGTGCCCGTCATTAAGGGAAATTTCGTGATTAACCGCGCAGATATATGATCTGCGGTGCAGAAAGCACTTTTCATTCATTGTGTGTTGCGCGCATTATGCCGTCAAACTCTGAACTTGGCCAACCACAGGAAGCTGTGGTTTTTAATGGATTGATTGCCTCTTTGATTGGAAGTGATTTTATGTTTGAACCGTTGTTAAAAGCAAAAAGATGTTGACTTCAAAAATTGACTTTATAAAATCTCGGCGCAACTCGTTTCGATGCAACTTGATCGATTTTATTCACAATTTGACGCAAATTCACATTTTTTTACCTAATGATGTAAAACCTATTGCGTTGAATTATTCTAGAAAATTCAACTGATTTGAAATTTAATAGACAGATAGTGGTTTTGCTATCGACGACTTTCCGGTCGGATATTGGATAACTTTCCGTGATAGCCAATATGGAATAATTTCGTCACTATTTCTCGACCGATGACATGAGGATAGTTTTCTGGGAAGAATCATTTTTACGACAGTCATACATCCTGTTAAAAATCTGTCTTGCGTATCACTGACTCACTTCAGTAGGCTGAGAATATGACCTTGGGCAATTTACTTTCTCCATTACGACAATCACTCATCATTTGAACGAACTTGGATCACGATATTTCACGCTGTAAAATAAGTGATAAAATTACAAAAATTAATCGGTCTTAAGCCTTGGATAATTTACAATTTTAATAATAAACTCGGGCTACTCCCAGAGTATGTGAACCAAGATGGCGGACACTGGAGCATAGTATGTGTACCAGGTCAGGGTTAGGCCATAATTTTATTCTAATTTTCTTCATTTTGGTTCTATTACGAGTCGGGGACTAGCCAAGTGACTCCCGTAGCATTTGTACCTGGAATTATGGCCTAACCCTAACCTGGTACACATACTACGTTTCGCTGTCCGCCATCTTGGTTCACATACTTAACCAAACTCGGTCGCTCTTTGCAGCAAACTTGTGCGAAAAAAATATCATTTAATAAAGTGGCGCCGACATCGCCATTTCATCATATTTAAAGCAATATGCCTCATTAAATCATAAATTATGAACGCCGAATATCACAAAATTGGTTAAATAATATCGATGTGGTTTTAAATTTACCAAAATAGTTGATTTCCTGGTTCGTGGTACTATTGACGTAATTAGAAAATCTTTCTGACAACTTTCTTTTATTGAAGAGAAAATTAAATATATTAGGCTGGATTTTGTTGAAATGTTATAATAAGTATACTCTTTTAACATTGTTTGGCTTTTCACGCATGATAGATGATCTATTAGCCATTGGTGCGTAAAACGAAATCCGACTGTAATTTTAATTTGATTGATTGATGGGATTTGCTCAGGTTTTCGGTTGCAATTATAATGAACTTATTTGTCTTGAAAGCGCAAGGCTTGGATATTTGCTCGCTCGTCCATGCATCGATTTTTTGCGTATGCGTACTTTGAAAACTTCAATTAATCTTTCCACATTGCTTCTTGCGTGAATTGGCATTAAAGGGAAGTAATTCAGGAAGTGAAGTACGTCATGCCCCATTCAATACTTCTTTAATGCGTCGTCTATACGTATATATCACACTCTTGCCTTCAATCTTTTTTAAATGGTGGACGTCAAATTCCCCGGCATTTCAGCTGTGAAATTGCGATGAAACATACATGACTATATCATGATTTTACATGATATTTGTGGATATATTTCAAGTGCCTTCCAAATGCCGCTTAGCTTTGTTCATTGCCGAAAACAATCATAGGTGGCATGAGACCTTATTTTTTTGCAAAATAAAAATCCTCTTACGCGAAAGAGGACGCTATTTTTAGCGTTGGTGAGAGACGTGTTTGCATATACACAAATCAAGCTGCGACACTCACGAAATTATAACTCAATGATGTAAACATGCGGTGTTGAGCGACAGAAAAAAATCTAGAAATTGGATGTACTTGTAAACGGCTCGTCGCTTGCACACAAGCTGGTATCTGATCATAGTTTTGATTTGAAGCAATACTCATCGAAGTATTTCAATACATTGGACTTAAAAAAAGAAAATATACGTTCCCCTTATTTTCACAAAACAGCTTTTCCAAATTTTGCCTATTTTGGTTAAAGAAATCGAAAATTTATCATACATCCAAGTTAACACCCCGATCCAGTTTGTTGGACCCGGGTTATTACTTTCTCTTGTGGTCATTCTTTTCCATTTTATATTTTCAGGTGCCTTTGATTC